AATAATAAAGATATCGTATTGGCTATATTATTAGATTTTTGTTCGAACCTATATACTCTTATTTAGTTTATTCATTCCTATATGCATACACTACTCATAAATTATATATTTGACAATATAAATTGGAATCAACTTTATTCATATCTCTAATTTTACAACCATTGAGTAATTTAAAAGCCAGGAAAAAGAAAGATACTCAGAAAACGAAGAGGGTGGCACACCCTTATTGAAATTATCACAAAAGTAATGTAATTTTTCCTTTTTATGTATTTATATGCAGTGTTTAAACCATCTATATATCAAAGCCAGAAGACATATATATATATATATGGATTATGAAAATGAAAATTTATGATGTGGCCAAGTCTAATTGGTTATTTATGTTTTGGAGATATAGAAACTTGTATATTGCATACACCTACACCAAAGCCCTAGAGAATATATTCGGCAACTTATTTAATCTCTCTCTCTCTCTCTCTCTCAAAAGATAAGAGCTGAAGCATATAAAAACAGAAGAAGCAATCTTGTTTTGGAAGTTTCGTGTTTGTAATATAGTGGTGTACTTACACAAACTCTGTAAAGCAGTAACAGTGTAAGTGAGTTATAGGATTCTCATATATCCAAATTAAGATGTTGTGCACATCTCAAGCATCCACAGCCATATGTTTGAGCATGGATCAGATCGTTCCTTCTTCTTCTCCTTCTTCTTCTTCTTCTTCCACCGATCAACTAGGTGGAAGAGCCATTGATCGACACAATCCGATCATCCGAGATGGCCGAAGATTCACGAGACCGCTCACTTCTCCTCCCTGTACTTCTCAACCACCACCCATCAACCCTAAACCTTACCAAAAACTTCCCAAGCCCAAAAAGTCTTCTGCTGATGCCAAGAAGAAAACCAAAGCTTCTAATAATGACAAGAAGCAGCTTCCAATCGCTGATAATCCTATTAAGCCAATTCCTTCTGATGCTTCTAGCAAAACCTCAGCTTATAATAAGCCTATTACCGTTGATTTTTTTACTCCACCTGGTTCTTCGAGGTATCTTCTGAGTGAACTAAGCTTTTTGGATTATGATCCAGTTTTTTCTTTGGTTCCTGCAGCTCAGACTCGCAACAATGATATGGCTAATTCAAAACCCTCTTCTTCTTCTTCTTCTTCTTCCTCAGACCAGGTTACTTCTCTCTCTCCTACTCTTATATGTAAAACTTCGGTTCGAAACAAGAGAAAATATATATTGATCAGATGGATTAGAAATTATTTGAAGAAAAAAAAGTTTTCAATGATCGAATTTTGTTAATTGCAGGTTGTGGTGTTGAGGGTCTCACTGCACTGCAGAGGCTGTGAAGGAAAAGTGAGGAAGCATCTATCCAGAATGCAAGGTATTATTATTATTTTACAACTCATTCAAAACTTTTTTAAAATTTTTATTGAAAGATGAAGAAATTTAGACTATAAGAAAACTTTATTCATTATATATATATGATTCTCATGCCTCTCCTCTGTTCCTTAAATTAACTCAGAAAAATTATTTTCATTTCTTCCAAACATAGCCTTAAATATTATGCAGTACTAATTAATATAACTTATAAGATCCACTTTTATAGATAAAGTAAACATAGAGTTAGTGTTATATGATATATATATATGTTAATTTTTTTAAAACTTAGTAATACCAAGTTTCATTTCTTTTTATATTATTTTAAATTTTTTATACATCACGGATCGAAATTATTGTACCAAAACTGCCAGCCTGAGAACAATTAATTGACTGACTTACATACTTTTACAAGATCTTATAGTAAATAAACTTCAACCCAGTTAAGGTAATTTTTCAAGTTAGACCACCGTAAATTTACATACATAACTTAGGAATTCAATTTAAATGTTTCTGTTCCAAATTTTATAATTAAATTAATTAGCACCAGTACGAGAAAATTATTCCACTTTATTAAAATAAAAAATTAAAAATATCATAAATACTGCTTATAATTACCTATGAAAGTCAACACGATAATGTGTATAATTTGAATTTACTTACATGTCAATATCTATATGAACTCACTCGAAAAAACGAAGCTCCTTTTCTGTATCCTTTGTGATCAAGTCTCCCCGATCCTCCTCAATCTTCTCCAATCCTTAAATTAACTGTTTTTTTTTTGTTCTTGCTTTCCATTTTTGTTATATAGTATTTATATAAAGAAGCAGATGATAGAGGGTCGGAGAAGCTTGGTCCTACAGAGATGGGAAAGATGTGCCTCATTTTTTAGAGGGCTTAACGTGAATATTACGTGTTATCAATGTGACGTCTATGTGAATTAAAATTATACATATTATTATCTGAGTGCGGTGATTTTTAATAACGTTAATTATTCGCGAATAATTTAAAATAAAAAAATTAAAATATAAATTTAAAATTTTTTAATAATTGACAGTTAAATTAGGTTAAATTTTGAGAATTTTCATATAAATTTAAATTTAAACTATTTGCAGGTGTGACGTCGTTCAACATAGATTTCGCAGCGAAGAAGGTGACGGTCACCGGAAATGTTACACCGTTAGGTGTTCTGGCCAGCATTTCAAAGGTTAAAAACGCACAGTTTTGGCCATCCGCACCCGCTGCATCCGCTCCAACAATTAAAAAATAATTAAATTATTAATAATGATATTGTACATGCATGATTAGTGTTTAATTACTTATTAATTAGCAGAATCAGAATCTTGTCATATGCTTAGGAGAAAGTAAAGAAAACTAGTTAATCACTTGCATCTCTTTCATATTTTATGCTCTGCATTTCTATTTTATTATTATTTTTTTTTTTTTGTGGAAGATTGAAAAAAGTAAAGTGGGATATTTTTTAATTAATAATTAATTAGTGTTAATCACTTAATTCTTAAATCCAGTTTCCCATGGTTTTGCCATCAGTTTGTGCTTCCCTAAATATTTTTTATATTCCACTAATTTTTCATCATAAATTATTCCTGAAGATGTTGAAAGCCGGGAGTGAGAAAATGATGTGCTACCAAATAAATTGAATAGAATGTCTACTACTGAATATATATATGTGTGTGTGTGTGTGTGTGGTCCATTTCTTTTTTCTTTTTGTCATCTTGGGTTCTTTTCCACATTCAATTTATTCACAGAAATATTTTCTTGAGAAATTTTTTTTTTTTCCAGAAGCAAATAACATTACTAAAGCAATAATTATTAGGGTTAATGGTTCAAAATTAAGTTAATTAGGTGATTATTTTTCCAATTATAAGTGTTGATGTAGACTGGGACAGAGGATGCACATGGCACAAAATAATGGAATTGTACCAGGCAATTAGGACAACTGCAATGGCCCAACAACCCTGCAGCTTTTGGAATGACTCCTGTGGGGTTTAATCCCTAAAGTCCTTCAACCTATAGTTTACTTTTGATATTAGGAATTTTTTAGTCTCCCTCCACCATTATATTATTATATAGATGTCATTTGATACAACTATTTCTATGCTGTAACACAATGTAAGGATCTTCTGGCGATCTCTACTGTTCAATGATGTAATTTACCACATCCCTGCAAAATATATTTCTTCCTTGCCAATTCTTATAAATTATCCTCAACTTCATCTATTCCTTTATCACTGAATGAAGCATATGCATAGAGCTTGTAGGAATTTTTTTAATGACAGTGACTAAATTGAAAATTATGAATAATTTAAAATATTTTATTTTTGCCACATCTTCTCTTGTTATTGTTCTTTGTTTATTTGCTTCCAACACATAAAAATTTGATTGCATTCTTTAGACAAGAGAATAAAGCTCCAACCACCTCCCACAATGAATACATTATTAGCCTTTATTCACTGTATCGCTCGTAAAAGCGTCATAAAGCAAACTAAATACTTGCACATGAGGGTAATCCAATTGTGCTTCATCCAACCATGAAAACAAATTTAATAGTCATATACCTCTTAATGAGTTAATTCTTCGTACTTTAGCTGCACACTCACATTTAGTTTAGACTTACCAATTCAAAGAGTAAAAGTGATGCAAGATTGATAAGTATAGGAGACAATACACTTCATTTAAGTTTAGAAAAGAGTCATTTTTCTAACTATATACAAACACTTTGGAAATTTCCTATTCTCCAACTTATTCCCTCTAATAAATCCATGCTTAAAAAAATACTCTTTACCTGCAGCTCGGTCTTTGGCCCTAATTGTGTTGATTTAAAATCCTCATCTCTAAGGTACTTAGCCTTTAAAATCATAGATATGAGAAGATTTCGGTTTTGTAGCAGTGCTCAAGCATGTTTAGCAAACATGGTTAAATTAAAAATCTAGAAGTCCCTAAATCACATATCACCATCCACATTTCATACATATAGCTTTGATCAAGCGATCCAATGAATTCTTTTTTCTTATTCTTTTTTGTCTTCATCAAACATTGGATTTGATTGTCTTAAACTAAAAACAAATATTTTCTAACAACAGGAAGAAAGTCATGATATATGTTGGAGCAAGTTATATCATTGTTTTTAACATTATTTCTCTTTCTATTCATAACAACGTTGTTTGTATCTAACTATCTATTATCATTGCAACTATGTTCACAGTATATTAGGTGTTATCATCAATAATACACTGATAAGCACTAGGAGGCCCTAATACTTATCATGTAAGTTCACCATATTAACCCTCAAAATTTTTAAATGTTATGGCTGTAACGGCCCCGGAAATTTAAATGAAATATATGTATTAAAAATGTCAAATGCGAAAGTGTAATAAAAATTTTGATTAACATCCCTTACACAATAACCAAAACGTACTCAAAACATGAAAGAACAAACTAACTAGAAGAGATACTCGAGATAAGAACTATAAATATAACTATGGAGTCTTTAGGCGTCCCCTTCGTCGTCTTCCTGCAGAACGGACTCGGGAACAAATGTCTTCCTGATCTGAAATGGTTAAATAAGGAATGAGCTACACCAGCCCCAGTAAAGACATCACACTATCTCACCGCCACGGAAGTAAAAGGTGGGTAGAAAACAAAAATGAGCAATGGAGCATAATTTATAACGAACTCGTTTATTAATATAAAAATCTTTTACTGTTCACTTACCTCGGTGAGATCCATGAAAAACGACATATGAAAGCAATAACATTATCATCATCATAAAATCATATAAACTGTATAATATAACACTTACCACGCCTTTGCATTTCAATCATTAAACAACATATTTTCCTCTTTTACCAGCCTACTAGTATCCATGGGGATCCATAGGGGGTCCCCGTTACCCGTGAACCATTAACATTACAACCGAATTCTAGGGCCATCCCCATACCCCGTCCGGTATGGGCGTCAAAACCATAAACCTCAATACCCCGTCCGGTATGAGGGTGAAACGGGTCGTCCCCATACCCCGTCCGGTATGGGCGCCAAAACACATAAGGTCTCCATACCCCGTCCGGTATGAGAGACCACGTTCCCGATAGGGTTCCCTACGGACCTGGTCCGTCCACCATCTCCCAGGATATCTAGTCAGGCTGTCCACATTTTCCACTTATCAATTCACATAACCTTTTTGCCTTTTTTCTTAATCTCAATCATCCAATCATACACAATATGTAAACCAGTAATTGACACCAAATAAGACAATACAGTACTGGGTTCACCATAATACAAACCATAATAAAAGAAACCATAGTTCATGCATACGAGACCGTAATATAATTACATCAAACATCATGCTGCATTTAATACTGGAAATTAGATCAAACAATAACAGACCAACACTGTATCAGACTCGGGTTCCATTGGCAACCTTAATCAATTATGCATCTATAAGGTCACACAGTACAGTTTAATTATTTATTTAGCTTTAATACCGTGATAGGAAATAGGGTGAGGGGTCCTTACCTGTTTTGGGGTCTGAATTCGACTCTACAGTGTGCCTACAGGCTGTCCCTAATTTTCCTGAATTTTTTTTTTCCGAAAAGCTGAAACGCACTACCGGTACCTGCACGTGTCCCAAAAAATTCCAAATCAGACCTAGGGCCCCTTTCGGCCAATATCAGAATTCCGGCACGGCGGCTCCGCCGTGCTCTGACGACGGTGCCGCCGTTTGCGGCGGCGATTTACCTCGGGTTGCCCGTTTTCGGTCAAATTCGGCCACACTTGCATCGGTCCCTGCGATAAAACAACCCTAGGACCCTCGGTGGGCCAAAAAATATGAAAAATCAAAACTTACTGGCGGCGGTGATCTCGGGTGCGGCGGCTCCTCTGGTGTGAGTCGCGTTTTAATGTTTTGCTCCGATCAACCTGTAAAGAAAAGAACGGTAATCATAGTGGTATAAAATTTGCATCGAACGGAGGCCGGGAAGGGCTTAATCGGAGGCAAAAACAGAGGGGGGCGAGGCGACGCCGCTGGGCTTCGACTGGATTTTCTGGTTATTTGGCCGGTGGTTTGGCTCCAGTTTGGCCATGGCGAGCTCAGCATCGAAAACGAGCCAGGACGAAAAAATTTACCTTAATCAGCGGTCGAAACTTCCCCGGTGTGGCGGCGGGTGGCACCGGCCGACTCCTCCTGCGTCTGGTTCTTCTTCTCCGGCGAGGCACTGTCGGCTAGGGTTTTTGTGGTCAGGTGTGGGTGGGGTTATTTATACCCTTTGCCTTTTAATCTCAACTGTCCATCAAGATTAAATCTGGACCATTCGATCGCAATTTAATTGGGATTAAATCTGGGCCGTCCGTGCCTGATTGAATCTGGGCCGTCCGTGCGCGTGAATCTAGGCCATCCGTGCGCGTGAATCTGGGTCGTCCGTGTGCGCGGGAACGGATCTGGGCCGTCCGATCGCGCGCACGCGGATCACCCACGTGGCCCGTCCCCTGGTCAGCGTTTTCTTGCCACACGGCGTGTCCTGGTTGGCCGGGGCTGCTGACTGGGCCGTTGACGTGGATGCTGACGTGGGTGCTGACGTGGCACAATTTTTCTAAATTGCGTTTTGACTCCGGTTTCCGATTTTCTTTTCAAAAACACCCCTATAATCTAAATTTTCACTCTTTTTTTCTAAAATCAATTTCAATTAAATCCAAATAATATTTTTACCCAATTTTATCATTATTATTATTTTTATTTTCATGAAATTAGATTAAATTAAATCAAATTAAATTAATTAAAAATAAAAAAAAATTCAAATAATTACAAAATAAAAATAATAACACTTAGGTGTTACAACTCTCCCCTCCTTAAGAAATTTGGTCCCCCAAATTTAACTCTTACTCTTGGATGAATAAATGGGGATACTGAATTCTAAATTCTGATTCTAGCTCCCAAGTAGCCTCCTTGGGCGTGTGGTTCTGCCACACGACCTTTACAAATGATATTTTCCGGTTGCGGAGTATTCTGCTCTTTCGGTCCGTGATACCGACTGGTACTTCTTCATAAGACAAGTCCTCTTGGAGTGGAAGCGATTCATGAGCCAAGACATGAGAAGGGTCCGGGTTGTACTTTCGTAGCATGGATACGTGGAACACGTTGTGGACTCTGGAGAGTTCTGGAGGCAGTGCTAGTCTGTAGGCAGCAGTACCAATCATGTCTAAGATTTCAAAAAGTCCAATACATCGAGGGTTTAATTTTTCCTTCCTGCCGAACCTACTAATTCCCTTGAAATGAGTGACCTTAAGAAACACCCGGTCGCCTTTCTCAAACACTAGGTCTCTCCTCCGGGTATCTGCGTAACTCTTCTACCTACTCTGAGCTGTCTGAATGTTCTTT